GAAAGTGAGGGTACAATCCTAGTTTCCTACCTGATTTGTAGTCGTGCTATACACTGAATTTTGTAGAAATATTCCAGATTCATTTATGAGTAAATAAGATCTATGCCAGCACTATGTAACTCTAGTGATTTATTTATCTAATTTAGCATGGAACTATATTGCTACTTTCCTTCTGCATTAAAATCCACGCAGTTCAGTATTCACACAAATTAATATGCCTACTGATGCAATTATTTACACAGCATATTTGTCACAAAATGTGTAAGACTGCATTCTCTACTGATGTAGGAGCTCTACTGGCTCCATCCATCAGATAAGAGGCAGGTTGTAGTTGCACATCTTTTAATAATTATTTCAGCAGGTGTCCTTTTATTCCTGTTTATAATTAGTAGCTGAGTACTTAGCAAAGCTTGTCAGGATCAGAAATTCCTACAATTCAGTTGTTATCTATATGCATGAACAAAGAGGATCTCTACCTCAGTAGAATAATTTCTGAAGATATTTAAAAATAATTAAGGTATTTAAAACTAATGGGTACCATAATTCTACATTAAGTACAGAGCTTTTGAATTATGATCAGCCAGCAGGGTATAATTCTGATGTGTCCTAAATGCATCTGATTCCAGATTTAATCAGTGATAAGATTGGTTTTAGCCATAATCTCAGATCTCACAGGTCATTTAAACTTCGTTATTTTTATTTTCTGTTTCTGAAGCTATGGTAGAGAATGACCTATCATATTTGACCAGGATGGGGTTAAAAATCCAAGATGATCTACAGCTGGTATCTATTCTCACTACCTAGACAAATGGGATTTGGCTCAGTGGAAACAAATTTCCTTACTATTGAGAATATTAGACTTAAAGTGCATCAGTAGCAGAAGAACAAGGATAAAAAGGTGATTGTAAGTCATGTTGTGCTGGAGCTGTACAGCAGCCTACCTGACACCTGGTCTGAATTACAGCAGTATCTTGATGGCTGAGATTTATGCTTTTCTTCTCAGAGTTCCTCGGAAGCTCAGGGCAGTAATTAGGCTGTTTCCCCTACAGGGTGGTATATACATGTCTGCACAAGGTATTTCATAAACTCCTACACTTTGTCCCCTGCAATGCCTTCGAGCACAGAGGACAGCCTGGCTGTAAGGTTCCTCTTCAGTGAGAAACATCCTTCCCTCAAGGATCATTTCTGACACTACTTCTGCCCATTTTAAGAGACTTTGGTTTCCCAAACAGCCACAAGTGGCTGACACATATATCTCCTTCTCAGCTCTGGGGTCTGAAATAGGCCTATGTTCTGTGAGTCACATCAGCAGTGTCCTAAGCAAAGGACTGCAAGAGCTACAGCTTGAATAAGAGGGTTAAACTTACAAGTAAACTGCTACCATACATTTACACCATTAGACAGACGAGGCATAAGAAGGAACATGACCTTAATCAGTAAGACCAGGTTTAGCCTGATCCTAAGGAAAACAGGGTATCTTAGAGAACACTTTTCCATGATACTGGTGCTGAAAGACACCTTCCCATTTAAAGGACCCTTATCCCTTATCCAGGATGTGATTTACATCCTGGGGAAAAAAAGTAACTTGTATCATAGGGATCCATATTATTTGAATAGGGTTTAAATAATGTGTCACTCAGAACTCTGCAGTGTCTGTAGCCTGTCTACAAATGACACTGAGGCAATTGCATTGTGTGTGTATGTGACACCCCAAGACTTGGACACCCCTTCAGCCAAGACAGATGGAGAAGCAGAGGTCTCAAGAGCTCCTACACATTTTGTAAAAATAGGCAGATTGCTAGAAGGAAAAAAATACTATTTGAAACCTCTAACTACCTCCTCCCAAAGGGAAAAGCCACAGCTGCTGTGAGGCTGAAAGAGAATTTCCACAGGAGTGTAATGACGTGCTCACTGCAACCCAGGAGAAAAGCTTCCACAGCATTTGCCACTCCAGGCTGCCCATAGGGGGTTTCAGAGTTCTCAAATCCTCTTGGTTCTTGGTATAAATTAATGCAACCTGTGTGTGCCAATGTGGTTTTAGGAACAGTAACAGTTCAGTTTTGCTCCTTGCAATAAATATCACAAGCCATTAAACCACCATATTAATGCAAGAAGTGTTTCCTGGAGATAATAATGTCCTGGCATCAGTATTGCTTCCATACTGGTGCTGGCTGCTAGTGCATTGGCAATGTCTTGAGAGGACCCTGTTTGCTAAAGCTGGCCATTGAAGGTAAAATCTTAATTAGTAATTTTCAAGAGATCGTTGCCTAGAATTCAGAACTTTAGCTCGTAACCAATTAAAATAGATTGGATTAGATTATTTCAACATCCTTTTGAAAGTGAGGTCGATTATTTCAGTCTAGTAAGGGTTTTGCTAGACAAGAGTTCAGTGCTTCCTCTCAAGTGTCCCGGTGCAGGACAATGTAACTCTGCTCTGAGCTGCAGAACATCTGTTTTTATGATTCAAGGCCTGTTCTGAATAGAAATCATCAGGTGGGTCAGGCTGTTGAAGACAGTCAATTTGAGTTTCGCAGAAAGGCACTAGGCTCCCTTCAGAATGGGAACTTGGATGGGAGAGAAACAGGGATGCCCAGAAACGACAGGTTTGAGCTTTTGCTCCTTAGCACCTCCAGCCGTCTGCAACATACATGAGTTTACCAGGTTTAGCAGGAGACAAGTGCTGATCATGAACACCAGAACTGAGCAATACCAGCCAGCCCCCACTCCAGGAGCAAACTGCAGCAGGTTTTGCTCTGGTTCCCACAGATAGAATGCAAGGGAGGAGGAACACCACAGTGACCAGGCAGCATCTGTGTGAACACTGACAACACCCTCTGGTTTCAACAGTAGTTATCACGAGAAAATACATTTCTGCCTTGTCCTTTCTTGTGCATGACAGAAACAAACAAGATAATTTTTTTTTCCCAGAAAGGAAGCAGGTTCATTCTGGAATGTGCTGGGCAGATCAGGTTCTTCTAAATACTGAAGGATATGTATGTGGGATTTCAACATTTTTAAACCCTCCCAGGATATTTGTGCAATATTAATTGTGTCAGTTTCAGCACTGTTTTTGCAGCAAACAGTAAACCCAGTGTAAGGAAAGCTGGCCTCATTTGTGCTGTTAGGTCTTTCTTAGAAGCAAAAACTATTTACAAGATAAGAACTTCCTTCACAGACACTATGTTTAATTGGGGAAGAGCTCTCTTACAGGAATAATATTCTTACTTCTGTTCACATCTGCATAATATTTTCCTGATCAGGAGATCAAGAGAAAGAGAATCTGAACAACTGCTTCTCTAAGTAATAATGAACAGAGAGCTGTGCAGTAAATCATAATGTTCAATAAAATGAAAAACAAAATTTGGCTGGAGATTAATGGCTGGAAAGGGACTTACTGAATTAAATTGGATCAGATGTTCCCTGGAAAAAAATCTGAGATATATTCACAGGGTTCTGTGGTGTTGGTTTTGTTTTTCTCAAAGGAAGATTTAACTTGATTGTTTTGCAGCTATTAAAAATTTCTAGGCCTTGCAGAGTGATCTTAGGGGCTTGTGGGAGAGGACAGACACTGGCTGGAAATTCTGGTCCCACTTGGGCAGGGTGGGGAGGGGGATGAACACGGAACCTTCCTGTACACAATGCCACAAACTTCTCAAGTGTTGCAGGGGTATTGCATTTTTACAAGGTAAGGAGGGCTGACTTCAGTTCCCACGTTCAGGGGCAGATTCATGATTACAGGTCTACTGTGACGACTGACATCTCTGAGTTCTCTAAGGTTGTGCTCAAAGGCCAGCTGCACCTCTCATGTTCCCTGTTAGGTGGTTTAGGTGCCTCCTTCTTACTGTGTTTTCTCCTATAACCCAATTCTAAGTGTCCAGCCCTTCAGATGTTGGCTAAAGACACATATGGGCTGTGACTCAGGCTTTAGAATTTCCCCAGGGACTAAGGCCCTCTAAATCTACCCTTGACTTGGTATTTAACTGCCAGATTTGCTTGTGGCTCCAACCACAAGCAGCAAAACATTGACACTTCAAGAACTGTTCACCAAAGAAACCAACTTAAAACTGTAAACCAGTGATGGGAACCAACATTTCCCACTGGTGCTGGTGGTCTGTCGAATCAGAGATGTCTCTTGTTTTGTCAAGATCCAGACTCGGTTCATTAATACATCAGATGAGGGAAACTAAAGCTGCATAAATTGTCACTGATTGTGCTAGAGATACTGAAAACTTTTTTCCCCCTTCAATTAATTTGCTGAACTGAAAGTGAAACAGACCCATAGCAGGACGGATGAAAAGGCCCTCCTCAGCAAGCGTGGTGCTGAAAGTAATGCACACATCTCACCTGCTCTCTGCAACCCAGCACATCTGCAGCGCTGGGGTTAGAGACTTGGCCTTATTAACTCGTGCTTCTTAGGCTTTTGTAAAAAATGGACTTAACAACAGCTGCCTAGAGCCAGACGAAGAGGAGAAAGGCTATGTTATTAAAACCTAGAATGTAATACCATTTTAAAATTCATCAAAGAGATCAGAGCAAATTCTCCAGAGACTGGGGACTTAGTCATCCCAGGTTTCTCCAGCTCATTTAGATAATTGCCCTTGAAATAGCTGTTCTTTCTTTCTTTCTTTCTTTTTTTCTTTTTTTCTTTTTTCTCCCTTCCCTTCCCTTCCCTTCCCTTCCCTTCCCTTCCCTTCCCTTCCCTCTTCCTCCTTCCCTCTCCCTCTCCCTCTCCCTCTCCCTCCTTCTCTCTCTCTCTCTCTCTCTCTCTAAGTATTCACAGAGCAGTCAGATCAGGTCCACAGCTGCAGAAGAGCAGAAGAAAACTCCAGATACCCACCATTCACATCTCTGCTTTCTATAATATGAGTCAACCCCATCTGAGTGCATTCAAAATACTCATCTACTGTCACTTGCAGAGATATTAGGAATTCATTAGCCAGTTTAACAAATTAATGCACTGGTAATATTAATTTTTTTAAGCATTTTATTAAATACCAGGAGCTGTTTAGAGAATATAATGCTATTTATTCCACATTTTTAACTACCTTCAAGGACTGGAGACTGTCATTCTCAGTGCTTTCCCACCTTCTTGAAAACTGCATGATTTACTTCTGTCTTGGTATAAATTCATGCTGTTACCAAGACAGGCAGACCAAGTAGTGTTACATGAGGTTGAACAGGAAATTGCTACAAATACAACAGAAAAAAGAGATTATTTTTTTCAGATTTTGGTACAAAAATAAAACTGACATTACAACATATAATTTTGCTGTGGGATTTTTGTGTAACTTCTATCAAACAAATTCTGAAAGACAGTACAACTTCCCATTAGATAGCCACTGGAAAATATGTCAGCATCCATGGCAGCGCACCGTCTTTTTTTGTGTTGTTTTCCATTGAAATATTGGGGGTTTTCTTAATTTGTTTTCTTCTTCCTACTATCTCTTCTTGACTGTAGAACTAGAGGTACAGTCTTATACCTGCCTGTGGTAAGGTTCAGGCAGAAATAAAAAGGCCCTGCTGCACTGTCCTTAGGCATGCAGTATCTTTGGAGTAGGTGTTCACCTCTGGAATCAGCACCCTACTCTCTCTTTTAGTCAGTAGGATGAAAGAAGCAGTTTAGCATGTGATTCATCTGATTTTATAGACATCTGCTTTATTATCTCTGTTTTAAACTTCTACTTTTGTAAGATGAGGTGAGATGCAACCTACTTTCAGTTGTCTGTGTTGACCATATCATCAGTCACGATGAAAGCAGTCTGGAGTAAACAGCCGAGGCAAAGACACTTTGTCAGATACATCCCACTTTCACAGTCTAAAAGTTGAGTCAGAGCTCACTAAAGTGGAGGTAAAGAATCCCATTTACATGGACTGAGTTTGGGTTAAGTTTTAAAGGTTCTGTTCTGTCACTAACTTTTGAGGTTATCTCATTTTTCTATGTAGATAGGACATATGATTTCAAAGACATAAATATCCATGCTCATGGATCTGGGCATGACTCACTGTATGGGTAGATACAGACCTGAAGAGAATAGTTACGAACATCTTTCTATGCCTATATTGAGGCTCCTATGTGCCTTGTATTTTGGGAGATTCTCTACAGACACTTTGATAGTTCTGCACTCTGCTGAAGGACAAGACGGCTAGAGGTTTTACCGAGCCAACATAAATTACATTTTCATAGGGCTGTTAAGTAGGAGAGTGGTACTGCTTGGTGCATGTCAAAGAGGAAGGAATGACAAACAAGGCACTGTGAAGGACAGAGCTGTATCAGGAAAAGTGGGGTTGTCACAAACTGGAGCCTGGCGGTCTTGTCTTCAGTCTGCTGTAACCATCCTAGAAATATATATCAAATACATTAACTTCTGTGAGGTGTTCAGACACCAGGACAATGCATGACCTCACGAGTGCCTGACTAATCAATGAAGGCTGGAAGTAGGAGGTGTGGTGCTTGCTTTGCTTGAGTGCTGCCAACTCAGAGTAGAAAAGCAGCTGAAGGAATGTTCAAAACGCACCCAACTTTTTTGTGTCGAAACAATTTGATCTTTAACACAGATGTACCAGGTTTAGTTTCTAATTTTAATAATGACTCCTTCCTAAAAACTCAGACAGCAAATGACTGATCTTGATTTTAGGCCACAATCAGTGGCTATTGAGAACAAGTGGGGGCACTGAAAAGAGGGCTTGATGTCATATTCACATTATATTATTAATCTATATATACCATGCAAAGGGTATTTTGCAATCAACTTTGTACTGAGTAAATAATTAAGCAGTGACTAAGCATACAGGGAAGATGGGAAGCACTCTTGTGTGTTATTAGCCCCCCTGAGTTTTCAGAAGTGTATTATAACTCAAAATCTTGGACTGCGAATAGCAACCTTGTCATCAAATATTAAAAAATACCTTTGACAAGATCAGTGAAAGCCCTCCAGAGATGTGAAGCTGGGCAGCAGACACTCTGATTAGGTGCTGCCTCCACAAAATGAAAATTCTTCCCTGAGCCCAAGAAACAGCTGATGGATATAGTCAGAAGTGATAAAAAGGTCACTCTTAAGTGGATACAAGGAGATTTAACTCACAATACCACCATCCTGAAGCCCTTAGACAAATAATAAAAGACAGGCTCCAAAGACTAGAAAGTCATTCAGGCTAAATATTTACACAAATCTTTGTCATATATTTGAGTCTTAAAGAAAATTCACCTCTGAACGAGACAGCAGCAGATGACCACACAAGTACGCTTGAGCCCTCTGGCCCTCTCTAGGAATGTGCTCTAAGATCTTGTGGTTGGAAAAACTGTTCAATCTTAGAACTGTGTTTTGCATCATGAATTCCAAGCTACTGTTCTCTAGCACTTGTACAGCCCATCCATGATAATTTCATAATCGTATGACAATTATATCACATGAGACAGAGCACTAATTTCCATTCTAACAGTAATAACCATCTCCTAAAACTAGTTTCTTTTTTAATCAGTTGCTATTTCTAAAAGTACCACGAGAGAAAAGGTGTGAATTATTAAGTTGATTTTCCATACATATTCAAACATGAGGGTATTTCAAGATGAATAGAAGAAATCTCATACTTTACCAATATATTTAATAGTTTGGTGTAATGACCTGAGGATTAATACTTCTCAGCTTGACATCAATCCATGCAAAACACCAGAATTGTTAATTCCAGGTATTACTTGTAAAAATCAGAGAAAAGTAATGCAATTTATTACTATTTTCATTACTCATTGCATGCCATTCAGAATGGAATTAAGGAAAATATATTTTATTTCAATAAAGCTATCTTGATATTTTTTCAGGTTTTAAATTTTCCTGGGGAAAAGAAAAATCTATGATACTTATATATTACTACTTATATATTACTTATGAACTTTGGTAGCACTTGTGGCACTAAGCAAAATTTTGATTAAGAAACTAGAATTCTCCGAAGTCGTCACAGTAATGATTGAATAGATTAAAACCACAGCAACTGACATTCTTGGAAACCCTCATAAGTGGGGACTCATCATCAAGAGGATGTCACTCAGCCCTTCAGGATCACTTCTAGGCTCTGTGCTGGGTTAGTTTTCCATTATTGTTTTCTTTCAGGATTCAGCTCATGTCTATAAGCATGCTAATATTTTGATCATATATTTTTAAGAAAACACTGAAAACACATACAGCTAATTCATGAGGTCTGGATGGAGCTTCTATTGCTTAGGACATACTAAAATCAAGTCTACAGACAAATATCCTCAGACTTGCTTCCCTGAAGTTTGTTAGACCACATCTTAATAGTGTTATCCAAATCATGGATTAGGGCAAAGCCAAAGAACATATGTTTGTCAGATCCTGTTTGGATGATACCAACACAGACAGAAACAGAACAAGCAGATTTTGGCATGAAATGAAAAATATTTTTGTTAACCTCACAGTTGTTAAAGAACATGTCAGTTACCACTTGGACTGAGTAATTTAGTTCCATATTTTGCCCATGAAAGTGTCTTAATAACCTTTGCAAAATGTGATTTTGAAGACAATCTTTAAATTTGTAATACCTGCTTTTCAACAGAACATGGATAGAATAATGACTTGATTCACTGCTGTTCAAATAACCAGCTCATTTTTTTCATTTGTGGGAAATAAGATTTTTCTACCTGCTTCATTTTAAAGCTTTTTGGGATATAAAAGCTTTCTGCTCAGTCATTTGCTGAAAATTGCAGAATGAAGCAGTACCCTACAGCATTTCCAGATGAAGTAGTCTGTTTATACAGAAAGCACAAGAGCTATAATTACTACATGATCACATTTGTATATCAAGGTCAGATTTCTGTGATTCACGCTATTGTTTGGACATAAAGGGAGTTGATTTTCAGCATGGTGGTGCACAACTACTATTGTTGTTATATCAGTGACTGTAGAAACAATATTAACTTTTGCTTGTTTGAGTTTTTCTATTTAGGCTAACTCTAGTTCAGGCATATGAGAAAATTGGCTGGCTAGTATTTGCCCTAAAATAGTCATTAGACATGAAAAATGCAGATTTATATTATTGCTACTCAGGTTATATAGTCTATTATGAAAGAAAAAAAGTCCTCTAAAACAAAAAGCAAGATAAAGTAGGTCATTAAATGACTTACACATGAAATCACACAGAGTTTAAGCAATATCAAATTCAGGTAATTAAAGAATGTAAAAAAAAAAATCCTGATATTTTCCTCTCTGCAAAATCCCTGTGTAATGTTTTTTTTTTTATTATTGCCCAATATATTCATAATTTTATATTCTCTTCCTGAGAATCCATTAACTTTCCACAACATTTACCCTGTTCTAAAACCTTAAAAATATGGGGATTCAACTCATTATACTTATTAGTTAAGCATTAGGATTAGTCAAGCACTTAGGTTGTACCAATTAATTTAATGTAATTGTATGTATTTATAACTAGGCACAAGAACAAATGCTTTCCTCATCCAAGGACTCATAGAAACTGCTATTGTATTACTGTATTGTGTTGAGTTGTCACCCAGCTGCCATTAATGTCACCCTGTTCTCAGTTAGGCCCCCTCCTTACTTAAGCCCCACTAGACTTTCTCTTTTCAGGTGTAGGTGTTCCTGGGTGAAAGGCAATCATATTTCTCCAGTTTTCATTGTTCTCTATATGTTCTGGGCTTTTATATTTCATATTCACTCCCTGCTCCCACTCACATACTGTCATATATAAGGATTTTCCACAAATTTGGTAATGTTATCTCCACACTGCCAAGGACAGTCAGGGAGCATTGGTTTTGGGTTTTTTTGGGGGGTGCAAAGAAGAGTCAGAACACCATCTTGACACAGCCCAAATTCTACTACTGTCATTGGGTCAAGGGTTTGAGAAAAGTTGTATTTAGCCTCCAAAGATTCTTTACCCAGATAAATTACTCTAATGGGTGTATGGCTTGAGGAATTTGCCATCTGAATGGTGTCCTAATAAATTATCCAAGGTCATTGAGTCGGTGTTGAACTCACATGAGCACTTTCATCACTGGACCACCATTCATCTCTGTAGGAGAGCCACATACGTTTCCTTGTCAGTGTTGTTTCTCATCTATCAATGATGATAACTTCAACCAACTTGATTTCTTTATAAATGTTTTTCTGGATTTCTTTGATATTTAATTTATTTGTTGATTGCTATTCTATCAAGACGCCCCAAAATGAGTAGGAGACCTAGAAAGGGAATATAATCATTCTAAACCACGGAGATCTAACTGAAAATCCTCATTATGCCACTTACAGCAAATGAGCAATTAAATAATATTCAATAGCCTATTATAGCAGACATAAGAAATTCTGTGACTTTTTAGACTTACAGAAAATAGATTTCCATCCAATTAAAATTTAGTTCAATGTCAATCATAGTTACTTGTAAACTTAGGTCAGCAACTGATTTATAAAGTAATGAGCCATTATATATTTTTTATTTCTTGCTTTGATTTGAATAACATAAACATATGATGGTGCTTTTTTTGCCTAAGGAGATGAATAGTATAATTCAAGGAAGAGGTGTGCTGTAAAATTAAAGAACCAGCAGACATGTCATCATGGGTTGAGTCACATCCAGGGTTGCCAGTGGCTATGGGTTTGTTGTAAGATGGTGGTACTCATTTGTCTGCCAGGAGAGGCCTTTCCCAATCCACAAAAACACAGCACAGTGCCAGGGCTGCCTTCATACAACTTTCCTGCATGTAACACAATATTGAAGCAGAATATTCTTGATTTGAGGCAGATACTCTTCCTCTTGCACAATTCAAATCAAGGGACACACCTCCTCCTTATGAGCAATGCTCGTAACCATTTCTCCTCCTGTGTTGCCAAGCTGGTGGCATACCTGGGAAAATCTCAGATCCTTTCCAGCCAGCATGTAAAAATCTGGAATCTGCTGGTAAAAAAGATGTTTAACCCTCTAAATAATAAAAGAGCTCTTGACAACATCACTTTAAAGTATCTTAAAGGCTCAGAAACAGAAGGGAAAAGAGAGATACTAACATTCCATCCAAAAACTTTTATGCCACAATTTTTAATTGAATCTCATATGTCTTGGAGACAGGGATTATTCTGTGTTATTTTTAATGTTAAGGGTTGGAAAACCTCCAGACCCACATGACATATCTGGAAACACAAAACAAACAGGACAAACCCCATAAACAAACTACAGCAGTCTCTGGGGAAATAGGTCAACAGGCGTAACGTTGCTTCTCTAAGACAGAAGGTTAAGAAAAAAAAAGTACTCATGGAGAAGGATTTGTGTTTTTCCTCATGGAATCAAGGAATAAAGTGATGTGCTCAAATGAAAATGGGCAGACTGGTTAATTCAAGGGTGAAACATGGGGATGGCTCTCTCCCACTCCCCTTCTGCCTGGGCCCCTCTGTTTGACCCTGATCTCATTCTCATGGCACCTCTCCCACGTGCAAGCTCACACTGTCCCCATCTCTCTCCCACAGGGCTTGCCCCAGTCTCCCTGCTTTACCATCTCATGGCAATGGCTTCTGTGTAATATTCTCCTTCCCAGCACCCATATCTAGTCTCAAGCCCCTGCCAATCTTTTTCTAGCTTGTCCCTTTGTTCCAAACATGAAGATCAGCCCAGAATGTCCCAAAGTGAAAAGTATTTGCCAGCCCTACCCACCTGCTCAGGGCTCTGCACCATGTTTAGCACCTTCCTTTCCCCACAGCAACACAAGCCTTAAACTAGAAAGAGTATGGAATATAATGGCAGAAAAACCTGATGAAAAACTGTGAGACCACTCGTCCATATCTTGCTATGACTGTCTCCCCACACCCTCCTGCCCTCTTCTACGTGCAGGATTACTCCCCGTCAGAACACTTCTTGTTCCCAGTCTCTTTATCCTTCAGATCTTATCTCTGTCTTCCAAAAAAGATCAGTCTTGTGCATACACCTGACACTGAAATTTTCAGCTTGAATGGTTAGACTGAGGTTATATCAGAAAACAGGGTCTTCTGAAGTGTCAGACAACTTGGACAGTCAATGCTACCAGCACTGCACTCAGTGCACCTGACTGAGTAGTTGCCACATTGAGTTAGACAAAGAGTTTTCCCAGCCAGCTAAGTGAAGCTCTCCTCCAGCAATTTTTAACAAGGTGTTCTTTTTCAGGGAATTTCTAATGGATCTCTTTACCACTGTGAAACTCAAAATATCAAATGCAGCAATCAAAAAATGTAAGATAAATTTCCATCACTGAAGAATTAACACACATTGTTTCAAACTGACTGTTTAAAATAAGTGACTTTGTCAGTCCCATAGCTTTGGTCAGTTTTACTTACTTGATCTTTTCTCCTCATCTAGGTAGGTTTCTGGTTGTGACAGATGAGACATGAGATCTTCAGCATCCAGGCTTTCAAGTTTTTCTTCAAGAGATTCACTATGGAATCGGTAAGAAAGACAAAAGTCATAAATATAAATAACTAGTTTAAAGAGTAAAATGAAGACCAGATGTTTTATCAATTCTAATACCCGCCAGTGGGGTTTTTCTGCTTAATGCCACTTTAGACTTTACTACAGTGGGTGTTCCTCAGAAAAAGTCTAACCTGTTGATTAGGTTTCAAGGATCAAAAATTCCAATAAATCAGTAAATCCTTACAAAGCATTGGTCACCTGAGCAATTATTGGAACAAACACCAAGATTTATTACATAGTTTGCTTTGCTTTCATAGATTTCAAAGCTGGATGAAAACTCCTTTCAACTGATGTTGTTTTAACTTTGAAAATAACAAATCTCTCAGATCAGCCTGAAAAATCTATGGCAAGACTTGTGTGGGGGCTTGAAAAGAGAAGGGATTCTCTTCTTTGCATGATGTAAAGTGCTGAATAACACACAGTTGTCTAAATATGCTTTTGTTTATTCAGTCTCTGGATGGTGAGTTCTCTTGTTCTAAAGTTTTCACTCTCACTGAACCACTAAAAGCTACATTTGGATTGCCTAACTTGAATCCCCTACAACAACAATACTGATGGTTAAGGCTGAAGTTTTCTTTGTACTGGATGCACAGGCTGGAGCTACCCTGGCACAGGTCACTGCTCCCTGTGTGACCATAGAGCAGTGTGGGACTTTCATCCCTTCCTCCTCCCCGAGGGAATCAGTTGACCATATTGCAGTCCTATTCCAGAGCAGCCAAGAGGGTGAATCACTGCTGCTGATCTTCTCAAAACTGGATAAATCCTTCTTTGGCGCATTTGCTTTGTCACATGGCTACACATATTTTTTCCTTTTTGAGTCCACAAGATCTTAAATAAGCACGAGTTCAGAAGTCAAACAGTCATATTTAAAAAAAATATAGAGCTATTAAGCTGGACATTCCTATTTGATTTTGAAATGGCACTTACATTTTTATGTCCTACTGCTCCTAGATTTCCTTGAAGGAATAAAATAAAACAAAACCATCAAAAAGAAAATTGGTAGTGCTAACATCCCTGAAGTTAATGAAGCCAAATTTCTTACAGTTCTATGGCTTGACTGAAGCTCCTGAGGAGGTGCAAACCATCATTGAAACTCTTCCCATGACTGGGACACTTACAGGATCTTTACCCGACACAGATTAACTTGACAAAAACAAGGTGACAGTGAGCTTTTCCTATTCATAAAGACAATAAATATTTTTTTCCCCTGCTTATTTTTATTTTCCTGCAAAAGTTTTTGGAACTGAAGATTTTTTACATCTTTCCTGCTGCCCTTTCAGATTTTCTGAGATCAGCATTGCTTTAAAAAAAAAAATCCTTAGAGCAGAACAGAGGAGCAGATGGTCACCCTCTACAGTAGCCATGGAGCACCAGTTAACTTAGGAAGCTGCAAGCTCAAATTCAGTAGTTAAAAGTAGAAGCAAATGAGTAATCAGCGAAAGAAGCTGCTGTGATGGACCTCTCAACTAAAATTCTACACTGCTACTTTTAATTTAGCACCATTTGAACACTGGCCCAGCAGAAATTTGGTACATACAGCAAGACTAGTTTCCAAAAACTTCCATATGGTTATCTGTCATCCTGGGTTTTACCAGAACCCTACAACTTCAATATTCAAACATCTACAAACATCTGCAAACCGTAACTTTAAATACGAGTAATTTTGCTTGAGCATAGAGGAGAAGTGCCACAAATTTTTAGATCTTATGTATTGTTAAACATTCTGATTTCCTTAATAAAACAAACAAATATGCAAACAAAATAATCACAGACAAAACCCAAAAGACATCGCTCCTGAATTGAAAATTTCTTATGCTACTTTAAAGTCTAGAGTCTGCCCAAGTGATGCATCCTTGAAAACAGTAGCTTATATAAGGGAAACACAGATGTGCTACGTTCAGTGGTTGCAAGGACCTTTTTTATAACATCCAACATCTGCAGATTTATTTCCAGCCTTTCTCTAATGAGATGCTATTTAGGAAATTATGAGAAATAATGTATGCTCAGACAACACTATAAGACAGCATTTAAACTTCAACTCAGTAGGCCCTAACACATTCACATCTGCAAACTGTGTCTTAGCAAAGCTTCTGTAAAGCACAGATGACTTCTGTTTATTATCATGGGGGTCTTAGTCCCTCTTCTTCCACAAAGTAATGCTAGTAAAACTATAATATAGAGGGAGAAGTCCCTCACAAACCCAGATCTTTCTGATTTATGTTTTCACAGCATTAACAACTAGCAGAAAGAAACCCTTTCCTTCACCTGCCATACCTTTTTGTCTGTTCAAAAAAGTGCTGAAAAAATTGTATAGACTGAGAGTCAAACAATGAGAAGAGTCCTCATCCCTCAGCTACGTTTTTAAACTCTTACAATAAAATATATCTTAAAAGTACTTAGTTCTGATACAGCGGTATTCAGCTGAAAAGGCCCAGTGTGCTTTCACCTAGAAAAATAAATGTAATTGTCTGCATTCCACAGATAGAGAAATGATGCACACAGCAATCAGTTGCCATGTCAGAGCCATGAGTGGCAGCTCAAGGATATGATCCCAGGTCTACAGAGCCTTTATTTCATTCTTCAGCTGTTTCCCAGGTTCATTTTGGTCTGAACCTTCCTTTTCACTGCAGGCAAAATGCTGCATGTTGCCATCAGCATACATTTAGCAGCTTTGGTAGAACCAGAGATGTGCCTGGTAATGACACAGACATATCGTTTCCAGAGGGAAAGAGAAAATATTGAAATGTTTGCAATGTGGGTTGAGGCTTTATTTCATTCTCTTTTTATTTTGGAGAGCCTGCTATGCCAGCTGCCCTGCAACATGTTCATTTCTGCAGTATCACACTATGATTTTAGTCATTGCTATTTCTCATATTAAAAATAAAAAGAAAAAAAAGCATCCAGCTACTATGACTCCTTCTTTGGAAGGACTCTTATTTATCTCCTTTCAATCTGAGTATCCCTTAATGACTTACTGGCTTCATCTTTTCCTTTGCAATCCCACTGGCATGGCCTGCTCTCATGCCAACGAGTCTGCAGTGCCCTTCCCAACATCCCTTCATAGATCTGCTCAGTGTCAGGAATGCAAGGATAACCGGGCCCAGGTTTCCCTGTGGTGTTCCTCAGCCTCACCAGGGCAGTGATGGTGGGTACTGCTGGAACACCACCTTCCTCAGGGTGGGCAGTCCTTGCCTGACCATCTCTGCGAGTAATAAACATTATTGTCACTTGGGCAAGCGTTAGTATCAAACTGTGAGTGGCTCCACTGACAGTTCTCTTATCCATCAGCACTTATAAGAGTTTGATATCTTTGGACTGTCCAAAAGCCAGTCCATATAGAAGAATATACTGCTGTGCTTTTATATTCTGTACATGTTGTGAGAGCTGTGTTTGAATCTGTTGTCTCCTGACACACAGAATCATAAAATATCCTGAGTTGCAAGGGACCTATGATGTCAGTTCCAGCCATTCCCTTGGGTCAGGTCTCTGGGCACCAGAAAGAAGAGATCAGTATCTGCCACTCCTCTTTGCCTTGTGAGGATGTTGGAGATCACAATGAGATCTCCCCTGACTCCTCCTCTCCAGGCTGAACAGCCCAAGTGACCTCAGCTGCTCCTTGTATGGCTTCCCCTCCACATCTTTCATATGCATTATTACACTTCCTATGAACCGAAGTAAGGTTTCTTAAATGAGCATCTCTAACAAAAAAAAATCTGTGAACTAGAAATGCCAAATTCAGTACACCTGTAACAAGAAAAGGAACCTGTCTGTCCTGAGCCTGCTGCCTCTTGCTGCAGATGAGCATTTTGCTGTTTTCTCTTCAGAGAATGCAGAGGTGGCAGGGAACAGCCTGTTGCTTGTTGTTGTTACTGGGAGCCTGGGATGACTTTATGTGTTTGTCTGCTTGACACTTGATCTTGCATGACAAAACCAAAAAACAAAGGCAAAACTGAATCAGCAGATTAGTCAGCTTAATCTTGTGTAACTCAAAGCTGCAATTCATTTTCAGTGCTGTTATTTTCAGCTGTCCTTTGAGATGGTTATTTGAGCTTCCTTATCATTCAACCAAGCTACTTGTCCAAGACATTCAAGTAAATAAGATGCAAAATATATAATTCAGCAAAATATTTCAGATGTTTTGATTTAATAATTTTTTTAATTTTGTCCACATAGTGTTAAAACCACAAGATCTTAATGCTACTAAAATGTCACTTATAATGAGAACACAATGGACTCTCTTTTTGCTATCATTTTAATATTGAAAGAATGCAAAAAGAACTTTCTGCTTAAGCCACTATTGTAAGTGCTAAAAGGTTTTTAAAATAACATGTAGTTTCTGAGACATTTCCCATCTCATTTTAAATACCAGATGAAGACAAATGCTGGGAGATGCCAATATTAAAATTGAAGTCAGCTGATTCTTATATTCTAAACAGTCACAGCAGCAGCAGCACAAATTTTTTGACACAGTTCATGTACTTCATAAGCCACACTGGCAGATATTGTCTCTTAAAAAACACAGAATTTCAATAACCATGTTTGCTGGACCTGGATTTGGTCTTCTTCATGTTCAGCAGTGCAACATAGGCAAGAAGGTTTCTTTTACTTGAAAGTTACCTGACTATTCTGTCCCAGTAACACAATCATTTCAAAGGTTTGTTTGCAAATGTCAAAGCTAACAGCCTTCTTTCTCAAGCAGAAACACTGCAGTTCACCATGTAAGTTCCCTTAGAGCAAATTAGCACCAGTCACAATGTGTGATGTAGGCTTCAGTGTTTAAAATAGATTTTGCCTTTTCCTGTAAGTACATCATGCACTTATGTGATATTAAACGTGTAAACACACTGCAGGTTAAAATACATAGTTATTACATTTCGTACAAGGTTGTCAGCCGTCTGACTGTCCTCTGAGAGGACACAGCTCCTGGAGGTGAAACGCCTCCTGACTAAACATTTCCCGCTGAAGTACAAAGTGATGATGTTACTTGTCCTTACATAAATGGGGTGGTTTTGCTTAGCAAAACAAAACCATGAGAGTTCCATTAACAAAAAAAGTTTACCGAGTTTTAGCACATGAGATATTCCAAAATCAAAAGCATAACGAATCCTGCTGAGATTCTTGTTGATTTGAAGCTTCTTTTATCCTCTAAGCCCAGCATCCAACTCAAATGAGAAGAGCTGATATTCAGAAATATTTGTAGATATTCTAGTACTTATGGCCATAAATTTAAATAAGCCTTTCCCATTAATTTTGTCAGAATTATCTGAAAGTAAAACTATAAAAATGTAGGAACAGCAATTTACCATATAGATATTTTCTCAGGGAACTTCAAATCAGCTTTATCAGGTATCAAATCCATGGATATCTGATGTCATACAATAATCTCAATAAAGTGAGTTAGGATCAGGAGGAGGATGGGAAGTACTGCTGACTGTTGTGTTTAGCTCAAATGGATGAATCTAACACCAAACCACAAACATATTCAGGATAGTAGTGTAGTAGAAAAACATAGCCTAGGGATATTTTCCTGATGAATTTTAGCACACCACTACTTCTATTGCTATTTGCTGCTATGCTCGTGGCACTCTCCACATTTGTGGAGATGCTAAGGAGCATAAAAAGAACAACTATATTTTTACTAAGAAAAGCATTTGCATTTCAATTATTTAATATTTTATTTTAGTATTTTATAAATACTACTGTCTATTATGTTATAAAATCACTACTTTCATCTGCAGTAATAGCCCAGATGGGAATCTTGCAAGTCAAGAAATGAGTGTAGTTGTAAACCTGTATTTGCAAAAAGGCATCATCAATGTTCATACTTGAGAATCAAAACCCCCTGAATTTGACATGTGAGACCCTGCCATGACTACACCTGTACTAATCAAAAGGAGTCACTGCACAGAACCGATGTGTGCAGTGATTTCCTTCTCCAGGTAACAACTCACTTCACCTGCCACATTGAGAGGTTGCAAATTGCCCTGGAGGCAGCTTGTCTGAGCATGCTTGACAACACACTGGTGCACAGCCAGGGACTTGGGTCAAGCTTGTTTCCAAAAACCAAGCAGCAACCACACCTGAGTTTGCATCTGTGAGTTTGCTTCCTATGCAGCAGGGAAGCATGACCTCAGGGCAGTCCTGGGGCTGCTCTCTTCAGGCAGTATAATCACATCCCACAGGAGATTCACCACCAGCTTCAGCCCAGATGAGGTGTTGATACCCTGAAGAGCTGACTTTGCGTGACTGAAGCTAGACAGCCACAACCACAGCAGGGCCACAAGCTCATCTCTCTGGCTCCTTATCTGTAGTGGAAAGATAATCTTGCTGTTCTCTACCTCAGTGCTTTGTAGTTCCAATAGTTAAGTGCATTGATGATGTGAAGAGCTATGCAAGTGCCATGTACTCTTCACCTCTGGTACATACTGGTCATGCTGCAGAGTTCACAGTGATGGCAACATCATCACCTGTTCACTCCTGCTCAGCTCCTGTGAGTGAACTGATGACCTCAATCTAAATACAAGCTTTCTAAAATACTGTAAAATGAAAAATACTATAATTGCTATTCAGTTTATTGCACAACACCTGTGTCTGTAGTTTGTCACTGTTCCTTAGCCTCTGCCTAAGCATGGCAACTATCAGCAGTACTGCAGAATTATTGTAAATTTGCTGTAATTAACTCTTCTGTTTGCAATCACAGTAAAAGCCAGGGAATCAAGTGGATTGGGTGGATTGAGTGGGATGGCAAGACAGCACAACTTCCTTGACTGCAATGCATCAGCAGTAAGGAATAAGTGATTTCCAGTGCTGCTTGCATGATCCTCACTGGCATTAGCTTGTCCAGGGTGGACAAGGAGATGTATTTCACTTCAGAATACCAAGGGGAGTGAGAAAACCTTCATTGGCAAACCTTCCATGAGAAAAAGGCCGTGGCACAGCCTCACCCAGGATCTAGCACAGACTAAGATAGCGTTACAGCATACACTGTGAAATATAACTTTCACACTCTGATGATTATTCTTTGACATTTGTGAAGTGAAACAGTGATTTCAGTTAGTGACAATTTATAGAGAAGTGCATCTGACAAATTTAGAATTGAATCTCAGATACTGATTGCAATTCAAAACAGGAAACATGGTTAAATCTGAAATTCACTAAATGCTATTTGAAATACTTACATAATTTGACTAGTTTAAACATTAGCACATTTTTTACAGGCAGCTTGTATAATTTATTTTTATTAACATCACCTTAGTTAACTGATCATACTTCCAGTGAGTTTAAATGAAAATAATCCAAGTCTAAAGAGGTCATGTCTATAGGGCTATTTTCTCTACTAACATTTGAATAGGGGAAGGGGAAATGCTGCTTCTAAGCAGCAAAACAGAGCACTGTATTCTCTCTGGCAGAGCAAACAATTTCAGAACTGTCAAAAACAGACCAAGAGGCAATTACGATCTTCCTTTTTCATTTTTAGGCCTTGTGCCCTTATTTACCAGTATTCTTCTGTATTTATTCTATTTCTTATACATTTAATGTATCATTTTAGAAGACAACTTTTTTCCTGATGAGGAAACAAAAGCTCAGCTGCACTTACTGTCTGCTCTGCCTTCACTTCTGTCACTCTTCTGCTACCGTTTCCCTGGCCTGTCTATTCCTTTCATTATTTGAACATGCTTTTCAATTCTGTAGTTTAAATTTTCACAAAATAGTATAAAAGAAATTATGTATTTAACAGCATGTTCAGCTTCTGGGGGGACTTGAGATAGCAGATGAGGTTATTTTACAATCCAGAGATTAATGGTCAAGCTCAATAACTTCAGCCTGAAGAAGAAAAATTCAACCCTAACAGTGAGAGTTCCCAATTAATTAAACCAGTTTGTCCATCAGTGTGATGGATTTATCCTCCCTTGAAGTCTGACAGCGAGGGATCAGGAATCTTCCTAATGTGAACACTGTGGCTGACCTGCAGACCACCAGTCTGGCCCAGGAACAGCTGTGTGATAGCCCATGATTGATGTTCGGCAGGAAATTACAGGGGATGACCACAGAGACCCTGCTTGGCCCTTGGGCCATGTCCCTTACCCATCCAGCTTCCGAGCAGGCTAGGACAGAACAGCTCTTTTGAATGTTACTAACAGCTCTTCCCTGGCCCAACCCCCCAGCCAGTTCTTTACTCTTCTTTCCATACTGTTTTGATGCCACCAACCATTTTTATCTTCTTGGTCTCTCTTCCTCCTCCACTGCTTTTATGAACACCATCATCGATTTTCTTCCTGCCTCTCCCGTTGCTTCTCCAGTGCTTCATTTTTTTTTGCCCAGATCCATTTTTCAGTGCAACTCCCACACAGTTCTTTTCTTGGCTTCCTCCTCCTCTTGCCTACTCTACCTTTCAGAGTCTCATGACGTTTAACAATCATCTGTACGAGCTCAGAGCCTTTGTGCCAGAACGCTGGATCACGTGAAGCAGCACAGCAGCAATCACATGGCCATATGGAGGGCTTCTGCTAAGGCAGTGAAATCACAGAAACAAGTTCAGGCAGGATCATTGCTCAGGAGTACTGGTCATATTTTTGCTGACAGAACTGCATAGAAACAGTTTTTTATGGGTATACTCAAATCAGGTATCTCCTTTTTATCCGTATGCAATCATTGCAGTTTTTAGCTGATGCCGTCAACTACTTTTGAATTGCACAGGCATTTTATTAGAATTACATACAAAAAAATGTTCAAGCCTAACTGCATTATAACGTGGTAGGTGCTTATACAGAGAACATAAAATCTTTTGAAATGGATACAGCCGTATAATATTATTCATTCTCAGTTGTTCAGATTTGAGAATGTTTACCATTCCTGAATGTCCCAGCTTCTGTGAAAAGAATCCCAAATACAAGGAGGAGGAAATTACACAGTATGGCTAAACAAATCACATTGATGCAGCAGATGACCACAATTACTTGAGCCTCCTGAGACTTAGCCTTCTTTAGAAAGGAACATATGGGACCCCAAACATAAGCTTAAAAAAAAAAAAAAAGGAAAGAAAAAAAAAGATAAAAGTCATTAGAGCTGTCTGTCTGTCAGTTCCCTGAGTTACATGATGCAATAATGGATAAAGGACACGTTAACTACTCAGAAATAATGCTCGTGAGGGGACACAGGGCTGTAAGCCCGCGGTTCAGGGCTCGGGCCGGCGCTGCTGCTGAGACACCGCGCTGGGCTGTGCGACCCGGCCGCGCCAGCGCTCAGCTCTGCTCTGGAAAGGTTCAGGAACAGAACTAGTAACGCAAAATCGGCAATAGCAACTTCAAGGACTTCTCTGAATCATAGTAAGACTTCTTAAAAATTAACTAAGTCTAAGGAGCGTAAAAATCTGCAGTCAAGACTGCCGAGAGGGATGGCTCCCTCGGCGGTGGCTGCACGAATCCTCGGCTGTACATCACCGGCGGATGGGGCTTCAGCCGGCTGTGACGGACCTGAGGGAAAAAAGCAGCACCCTCTGACTCGCCCGGGGGTTCCCTGGACCGGGAGCGAAGCCGCAGCCCGAGGCGGGCAGGGTCCCTCCCCGCTGCCAGAAGGCACGGGAAGCTCGTTCTCCCGCTTAGGACAGTACTGCAGCCCAGCACCCCCCGGCCTTATCAGCTTCCACCAAAAAGCCCTTTTTAACGATAAGAAAACGAAGCAGTGGCAGCCTCCCCCCTTCAGAAACCGCGAGGGCGGGGGAGGGGCGCGG